TAAAAAAACAACAACAACAACAACAAAAAACAAAAACAAAAACAAAAGAAAGCAAGAAATCATTAAGGTACAGCTCACTTCAAGCTCAAATCAAATCGTTAAAAACAAAACTAAAAATCCAATGGAACTTTTAAGAGAACAAATTACGCCTTCTTTCTTTCTTTACCTTGCAATCAATTTTCATCCTGAACCACAATGAACAAATATTGTTTTACACGTGTTTATGAATGGTTCATCACCTTGACCGAGAAATTTCTTGGGAAAAACAGTGATAAGCATATCATTGCAGCCTCTTACAAATACAGGATTGCGGTTGAAGACAATACGAATACCCATCAACTGAATCAGAGGAATGCGGAGCGTGAACATTAGGCAAACAATTACAGGCGAAATTATTGAAGCAGACAGGTGCAAATTTTATTTAGGGTTTGGAATTTCCGCACCTTTGGCGGCTTGAAATTTAGGGTTCTCGACTGAAACCTTAACAAACCACAGCTACAGTTGTGCGTTTAGCCCAAGATTTTTTTTTCAGATGAAGGAAGATTGCCTAGTGTTGAAAATGCAAAATATTTCTACAGATTCTCTATGATTTCCTTCCGGGGCCAAACATTGCGAACGGAAAATTGACAACAGAAATTCGGAATTACGCAGAAAGAAGTCGGATGAGTTGAGGACAGCTACCGGAAATTGCAGCGTCGGACTGAGCTGCGGGCCCGGTAGCAGCGTCAACGGATGATTTTAGGGTTATTACCTGAAATTGGGCTCACAGAGAAATAGATCCGGCGAATTCAAAGCTTCGGCCGACAAGTAGCAGTGAGTGGCCAGTAGCGTTTGTCGGAATATTTTCTTGGTTAATTGTGGTCTGTTGTTTGGGATGGGTACGTCTTCTGTGCTCTATCGATTTTTTAGGCCCATTTCTCGTCAAAAGGGAGGGATCTTCGTTTAAGTAACCTAGTCGTATAAGTAACCTACTCAAATGTCTTATTTGTGTGTGTAAATGATGCCAAATGTTCACATGCCTACAGTGATATGTTAATATGTCGGTCGCTTATGTGACATGCACATATTGGTGTCGTTTATATATTAAAAAAATACATTATCTATGTGTGCATGGCACATAAGCGGTGGACATATTAACATGTGCCCACCGCATGTGAGCATTTCTCATTTTTTATAAAACTAGGTGATGACCGGAACGTGCATGTCTATTTTTTTTTTAAAAAAAAATTATTTTAAATATAATTATATAGATTCAACATCTCATTATAGAAATAAAAGTAAATACAATTAATGAAAATTCATATATTATTAAAAACATCTTTGTACAAAACATTTTTTGTTTGATTTGGTGGAAAGTAATGTTCACTACATATTACAATCTTCAAACCCTTTCTATTAATGACGCGTCAGACAACAACATATGATTGGCCATGACTAAAAATCGGCTTTTTCAAGACAAAAGCCAACATGCTATAAGGATTGACTTTGGCTCCTGTTAATCCTCATTACATAAGAAACCACAATAAGGAATTGCCTCCGTTGAAACTTAAAAGGATTCTTGCATCACTCGTCATCTGAGGTATCAACACCTTATTACTTGCTTGGTCACCAGTAAGTATCCTACATTCAAGGATATGATTGGAGAGTTTGATTACAACCAAACGTGTCCCGTTGCACAATCACATAGAATGGTCCATATTCCGCAACAACATCACCGAAATTCCAATCTTTAAATACAACTCATGATTTGGTGTCCCAGAACATTTCAGAGAGTTTAAGAACCCAACAGTGTGGAGTTCCGACAAAAAGTTTGAAATTCAAAATGGATTTACACGTACTATTGGAGCTTACATGGATATGACCTTCTGTGAGAATCAACGACTGACATGTACTAATTGATAAACACAATGATCTCCAACGTCGGTGTAAGTATAGCTCTGTCCTTAAGATAACATGGATCATCTGTTGCATTCTTGAACATTGGATACATGCTTTTAACAATTGCAGCAATGGGATCGTCCTACGGTGGTAGTAATAAATCTTCTGGTATATCAATCGAGGCACAACCATCATTCGAAACTCCAATAGTACCATCTCCATTGCTAGTGATCCAAGCAGCAAATGTAGACAACTCATCACGTTCATCTGAATAGTCACGACTCTGAAGACGTGATTTTTTGTTAGCCTAAGCACAATACAATCTCGCCAAATGGTTGAAGCATTAACGGTCACTTGACGGTTCCCCTTTTGAAAACTGGCGGAATTTGTTGAAAATCTCCACCAAACACAATAGTCTTGCCCCCAAATGGTCTAGAATTGTTAGCTGGGTTAACTGCTCCCATGATTGCTTGAAATGATGCTTGAACAACTTCAAAACAATGCTTATGAGTCATTGGAGCCTCGTCCCATATGATGAGGGAATACCGTATAATAAGCTCTGCAAGAGGGCTAGCCTGGTTGATCTCGCACGATGAATTTTCATGAAGATTAAGAGGTATGTCAAAGCGAGAGTGTGCAGTTCTTTCACCTAGAAACAGAAGAGGCGCTACTCCACTCGATGCAACACAAAGAACGATCTCACCCTTTGATCTTAACGTTGCAGCTAAAGTCCTCCACAAGTATGTCTTATCGGTTCCACCATAACTGTAGACAAANAACACCACACTGACTTGAGCCTGTCGTTGTCATAATTTTTAAATAAGTTCGTCGGTAATATTTCTAAGAAGCGTACTGTGCTCGACTGCTAAACACTTACGGTATTAATTTAGTTCATCTAAAATCAAATGATTTGTGGTTGAACTAAAACAGTCCATTTCAAGAAAGGGCATTGTAGAATATTCCTGAAGATTCATGTCGCTACGTCGCAACAATGTTTCAATCTCGACGAGAGCTAAGGGCATGCTAGTTTTACCAAATAATCAATTCAAAATGAGTTATTTTGGTTAACTATAGTTAATTTTTAAAAAGTGGCATGGTTAGTTGTTAGTGTGAATTTAAGAATGTATGAAAATAATATTTAAAATAGAATAATTAATATTGATTTGATGTAAGAGTAGGAGATAAATTATTAGAAATGATAGAGAATTAAAATTATATGAGTGGATGAATAGTGAATTAAAGTTGATGTGATGTGTAAGAATGATTGGTTTGTATTATTTAATTATCTGAATAATATTAAGGATAATGGGGTTGAGTTAAAGTTGAGTTAGATTTTGAGTATGAATTAAACGTGGGTGGATTATTTAGTAAACAAGCATGCCCTAAATCTTTTACCTCCGTGTCATCCAGCTACAAACCTAAAAAAACAATATAGGCCAGATGAGAATAAACTAAGCGTGGACTATAATACATTCAAAATAAATGACAATGAACAATATAAACAAAACTAAAATACAAATAAATCGCATACCTTTATTATTGAAGAGACGACGTTTCCTGTAAAGAATGTCATCAAAGAGAAAATACCAACACTTTTTCCATACATGCTTGAGTGCGAATATACGCCTAAAAGAATCAACAGATGCCCAATGAAATGCATCAATTATGCCATCAAAGTATTCTCGATTGTCACCCAACAAACCGAGAGCATGGCAAGCATTACGATATTGAACGTCATGTACCTTCATATAATCCTCATGGCAAGTTGCTCTACGAATTACATTGACCAAGCACCTCAAATAGTAATTATTGCCCACATTAGGAGGCATGATGCAGTCAGGCTATAGAACGTCATGTACTTGTTTTTTTATCCATATGTGTGCTTATAGTTATAAGTTGTTTGGGGACAAGCAACGGTTCAAATTTGGGGAGATTTGATAAGTCGAATAATGTGCATGTTTTATATATTCAATTGCGTATTTTTATACATTTAATTTATTTACACATTTATATTTTTTGACTTATTTATATTTTGGTGGAATTTATTTGCTTTGATGTCTTATATATAATTTTCGGTGTTTTGGATTATTTTGTGGATCTAAGCATTGGGCGAGAGTTCGCGCAAGTCACTATTGGGACCTAATACCATTCCAATTAAAGCTCAAAGCTTTCCTATTATGTTGTAGACAAAAGTGGGCTTGTTGATTCTCCTAATGAACTTGGGCTGGAATTAATTAAAGAGAAAATTACATATTCTACTACACAATTCCATCTTTATTTCACATTTATAACCCTTATATATTTATTTACAAAGTAACT